GCGGTACATTTACATACATATATGTACGTATATAAGCACGCCATCGGCATATAGCAGCAGTGAGTAACGGTATGAATGTACATACAAAATCACGCCAACCGCAACGGTACACGCATACATAGACGCAGGAATACCCCGTTATAAATTTTTGAGAGCCACGCCACCATCAGCCACCCGTATATACATAACGGCTTCGCATAGCGGCAAGTCACAAAACCCACGCCACCGTTAATATATATGCCAGCAGTTGCACAGCAGACCATCAGCTTACCTAGAGATACAAACCAGAATATGCGGTGACAGGTAATAAGGTCAATGTAAATAAGGTCAATTGACTTTATTTCCCATCCTGGTGCGAAATAAAGTCAATTGACATTATTACCTTTTCAAAAGCGAAATAAAGTCAACAAAAATTTGGAAATAAAGTCATTTCCATTTGAATGAAGAAATAGCGTCAACAAGGCTTAAAGTATGTCGATTCATAGAAAAAATGTTGTTCTTACAATCAACATTGCCCCGTAAGTGTTGTTTTTTAATAGATGAAAAAGGTTATTGACAAATCCTCAGTGTTGTGATATTAATCCACACACAATCATGAACTACCACCAATTGATTTTATTAAAAAAATTTAAATTACGAATATGTAAAAATACGATGCGAAAAAGTAAACGCCTGCGCACACCTGGAATACGAAAAATATTTGAAGAAAGAGTATAGAAATGATCCATAACTTGCAAAACATGTTTCGTTTCCACAAAAATAAAGCGAACACTATTAAATTGAAGAAACAGTCCATGTCCAAAACCCCGGAGGAACACTGAAAGAATTCTGTGTTTTAAATTAACATATTTTGAACGAATTCGGAATGTCTAAGGTGGAAAAGAAACCAACCATTCTATAAGGAAACAATTATAGAAAAAGAATTTTCTTACACTGTATTCATGTCTCCGCCAGAAATTTGTGACGACATCATTTAAAAGCAGGTAAGGAGAATGGCGACACTATTTATTAGATGGCACATTCAACGAGCCAATATGCCAAAATGCGGGTATAAACAATTATTGATTATTTAATATCGGAACCGAGATCATATAAGTTAATTGATTGGTTTTCACACACTTTTGCAACACAAATTACATATATGCTTTTTTACTGCAGACAAGCTGTTGCCCCAAACACACCAGAAATCTTCCAATCAGGGCTGCCAACTATGCTTAGTTATGAGGTGCCATATTCAGGATAAAAAAGTGCCAAAATGTGCCAAATAGAAAAATAAAAGTGCCAAAAAAGGTGTCATTCCTTTTAATCATTTACATTTAGCAATAAAATAAAGCTACATTTTCCAAACAAAAGTGCAATGGTAAAATAAGATAAATCAGTTGAATAGCCTTTATAAAATGCCTTCACAAAAATGTATTGAAATGTTATTTTTTTTTTAAAAAGTGCCATTTTGGCACTTTGTGCCAAATTGAAAAATTAAGTGCCATTTGAAGTAAAATAGGGACACATGGCACGGTTTGAGCCAAGTTGGCATCCCTGCTTCCAA